TTGCCGCCCTAGCTGGTTTGGCTCAGTGGATAGAGCATCAGCCTGTGGACTGAAGGGTCCCGGGTTCGATTCCGGTCAAGGTCATGTACCCGGGTTGTGGGCTCGATCCCCAGTAGGGGGTGTGCAGGAGGCAGCCGATCAATGATACTCTCTCATCACTGATGTTTCTATCTCTCTCTCCCTCTCCCTTCCTCTCTGAAATCAATAAAAATATATATTTTTTTAAAAAAACCTGTTTGCCTGGCTGGTATGGCTCAGTGGTTGAGCATCAACCTGTGAACCAGGGGGTCATGGTTTGATTCTCAGTCAGGGTACATGTCCAGGTTTCAGGCTCAATCCCCAGTACAAGAGAGGGGGAGCAGAAGGCAGGCTGGTCAATGATTCTCTCTCATCACTGATGTCTCTCTCTCTCCCTATCCCTTCCTCTCTGAAATCAATAACTATATATATATATATATTTAACACTGTTTAATTCTGCTCCAACTTGCAATAGCAGCCTTTCTTTTGCACTAGGCTTGTCACTTTCCAGTGGATTTCTAGTGGGAAGAGCAAGAGACCTCTATACTGTTTCCCCTTACAGGTGAAGCAGCATGAATTTATGGGATTAGGTGACCAACATTTGCCCTTAGCTAAACCAAGTGTTTGATTGACTTATTTAGTTTTACAGCGAATTGGAAGTCCTTGTTTAATGGAGTATTTTGCTTTTGGTAACGCATTTTTCCAAGTAACTGGTGCACCCAAACCTATTTACTATGTTTAATGAACATCTTCTATGTTGTTTAACATGTCTAAGCTTTCTTCTCAGTAGAAATTAATAAAATCTTTCCTCAATGAATCAGGGTCAGTCATATATGTATATACTTATTACTGTACTATACTACAATACAGAATTAAGTTATGGGACTATGATGTCACTGACCACTATTAAAATAAAGACAGCCCTAGCCGGTTTGGCTCAGTGAATAGTGTCGGCCTGTGGACTGAAGGGTCAAGGTTCAATTCCAATCAAGAGCACATGCCTGGGTTGCAGACTCAATCCCTAGTGTGGGGCGTGCAGGAGGCAGCCAATCAATGATTCTCATCATTGGTGTTTCTATCTCTCTCTCCCTTTCCCTTCCTCTCTGAAATCAATAAAATAAAATAAAAATTAGAAAGACAATTTGCTCCTGCATTTAATGACCCCACACCATTGTGGTTTTTTGCTTTGGTTTGTATGGTTATTCCAGCAGCTTCTTTAGTGTTAGCAGTGGGTTTCTTCTGCTGTCATTACCTTTGCCTCTACAAGCGCCCCTCCCCTTTATCAATTTCCTTCTTCTAACTTGCCACATGGACTGGGAGATCAGAAAATGAATTCACTGGAATTTAGAGTCCCTCTATCTAGTAAAGTACGGAGCTTTAATTTACATGTTCTTGTCTGTGCAGTGGTCTTTGTCTTTTCTTTCTGATGTTCAATAAATGTTGGGTTCAAAATAACCAGCCTTCTGTGTACACGTATGGCATAAATCTTCTTAAACTACTTATTGAAAAGATTTGACTGTTCTTTGAATAAAGTAATACTTACTTAACAAAACATTATTTCTGGTTCCGAACACAAAAATATTATAATAGGATCCTATTTCATGCTACAGAATAATGACCCAAATATTACATTGCAAATAATTTTCTTAAACAGAAAAACAAGAAATTCAGAAAAAAAAATACAAAATATAACAGAGCGACTAATAAACCTCTCCATGCTGGTTGTTCTTTATAATCCGTTGACTTGTGCAGTAAATAAGTTCAAGTGACCAAAAGAAACTGATACATATGATAGAAAAACAACATTTTTCTATCATATATAACTTACCTGTATAGTTTTACTCTTAAAATATTAGTCAAGCCGTAGCTGGTTTGGCTCAGTAAATAGAGCGTCAGCCTGTGGACGAAGGGTCCCAGGTTTGATTCCAGTAAAGGGCACATGCCCAGGCTCGATCCCCAGTAGGGGGCGTGCAGGAGGCAGCCAATCAATGATTCTCTCTCATCACTCATGTTTCTCTCTCTCCCTCTCCCTTCCTCTCTGAAATCAATATAAATATATATATACACATTAGTCAAATTATTAAAGAAATGCTTTATAATTATAAAAAGTATGCAACTCAAGATCGACAACAAAAATACCTTCATTTGAATCTAAACACTTTTCCTGCCTAAGCAATCAAATCATTATTAATGAAATCCAACTTTAACCAAAATACTTGATTAATGGTGAGAAATCCTATGAAAACAGTTACTTGTTTTGTGACTAAATATCAAAAGAAGTTATATGACACATTGCTGCCAAAATAAGATTAAAATCTTATTACTAGATTAGATGTTATAAAAATGTTTTCCTGTTTTATTATGTAACAAATTAGGACTGCAGATAGTATTTTTACTACTGTTGAGTTTCACAATGGCACAATTAGAATATCTCTAATTCATTTCTATATTTTCTTCTACTTTAAAAATAGGATACATTTGAGTAGTTTAATAAACTGGCCTGTATAATAGTAATAGCAGCACTCAAACATTTACTATGTGCCAGATACAGTTCTAAGCATTTTACACATAGTAACTCCTTTACTCCTCACAAGAGCCCTATGCCATAGATGCTCTGATCAACACAATGAAACATCAGAAGGCAGAGGCTTGGAGAAGGTAAGTAGTTTTCCTAGAGCCAGGACTACAGTGGTGCCCATACACTAATAAGCGTGACTTCATGTCCCTGTGTTAGATTAACTCCTATTTTAGAGTATTTTATTTTAGGACTTTAAAGTACATTTCCTAAATTCCATTACCAACACCATTCAGCTTAAAAACTGGAGAACTCATCGGCACCTCACAATATATTAGGATAAAACTATTTATGGCTTAGGTATAGGCATATGAATGGTAAGCAGCATCCTCTGTTTTGTTGACACATTTCAGGAGTACAGTATGTAAGGCAGAATGGTAGTCCAGAAAATTTTCTCCTAAACTGTCAGACAGGACTGTTCAATAATTAATGCAAAAATAAACAAATTTTTAGCAAGTATTGGAGATGCTGTGTAATTTTTAAATAATGAGAACCAACACAACCCCTCCCACTACCTCCAATTTTCCAAAAAGCCCAAACAATAAAATATGATGAAATCCATGTAACTATAAATCCTCAACACATTTAAGCAGTTCAGTTATGCTCATATTTTTATTCTAAACCCAATGAAGCTTGAATAAAATAGCCCCTACAATGCCTTCCTGTGGCAAACAATGTTTTTTAACAACCCACAGACTATTACATTTATTCCACCAAAATGCATAAACATTTTTAGTTCAGTATTTTGTTTCTTACTAACAATCAATGGTTTATTTGTGTGGGTTATTTTTTAATAAGTACACAAAAGAAAACAAAAACTGATACATATTAGTCAAAGATCTGCAACGAGAAACAATTAACATCTTCCATATAACTTTTCCTAAAAAACAAAACACTTTACAATCCCTGTGAAAAGGAAATGACATCTTAAATACAAAGACATAAAAATTTATTACAGCTCTTTTATGTATTTTTTAGTATTTACATTTCAGCAATATTTTTCTCCCATAGCACGTTCACTCTTACAACTTATTTTAATGACAACTTTAAAAATTAAGCTATATTTTAAAACTCGTGGTTTCTTGCATGTCATGAACATATCTGATATGATCTGTATGAGAAATAACTGAAAACAAATCAGACCTTTTACAAAGAACAGAATGAAATCCATGTCAGATACCCGAAGCATGGTTATAATTACTTCAAATGTAATTAGTTCTCAATATTTAGATTAGATGTACTATTTTCTTCCTTAGTTACTAACGATCAATCTTTTTACATTCTCATTAGAAATTCATCTTTGTTAGAAAATATACCAAAAGAAACAACAGAATGTTTGCCACAATATGGACTTTTTAAATACTCTGGGTGAAATTAGAATTCTTTGAGAGAAAAAGCATGTCCTTATATTTCAGAATGCTTGTCCAAACAAAAAAACTGAGCATACCTTTTAATAAGACTGATTGTTATTATACCAACAGACTATAAGCTTTAAAACTAAAGATATGAATAAAAAGAATGGGGTTGGGGATTAAAGAAGTTACAGTGATTTCCTTCTTCTCATTCTAGTCAAGGACCAGACTCCATAATAACCAGAACAGAATAAACAAACAATTCTGGGCAGGAGGAAACAGCAAGAAACAACTTTTAAATAAACAAAATGGCCAAAACATACTGATAATATAAAATCACCTATCACATTTTGCACAATTTCCCATAAATCTGAAATAAATAAGCTATTATTTTAACCAAAACACTATCACTGTTAACCACAGGGAGCATCATATACCATTAATAGACACTAAAGGCCAATATAAACTACAAATATCAACTTAATAAACTTTAAGAAAAGTATAAAGTTACAGAAAAAAAAAAACTGTTCTTAATGCCTAAAACTTGAGTACAGAAAAATAAAACCAAAGAGACAGACATCAAAGGAGATTCAAGGTTTCAAAGTACATAGTCAGAGCTAAAGTAATGTTTGGGGAAAATCTCACATTAACAAGTTGAGTGATTTAAGTTTAGTGGCACACAGTATACAATATATAAGAAATAACTGAAGATAGTTTGGTGCCCTAATGAAACTCTACATTTTATTGTTGCTATTGTTACACAAAGAAGAAAGAGGACCAATTTTTATTATTCCTAATAAAATATTAACAGGTGGCAACTGGCCTAGAAACGGTGAATGCCATTAAGAACAAACTGGTATATTCAAAGAACACAACTCAAAAAATACTTTCTTGATGTTCATACCAAAACCTTTTCTAAGATAAGCACCTCCTTCTTCAGGAAGAAAGTCTATTTTAATAACATAGTGGAAGGGGAGATATTAACACAAAGTATATTTCAATAGTACCAATAACTGCAATGACTCTTGGGAAATCTCTTCCTGTAATTGACTTACCTCCACTGACTGCATCTTGCTCTTCACCTTCAGGAAATGCAACTTGGCTTGGCAAGCTATTCCTAGATCGAGTGACTGTCTCTAACTGGGAAGCCCGTCCCAGTAAAGATAGCTCATCTAGCACCTCTCCTTCTTTGGCCTCGAGGTCTGACTTTGAAGTGGTTAAGGGTTTTATACTTTCGGGTGCCATTAGCCTATTGGAGTCATTCAAACATGCCACTGTGCTACTGTCCAGACTCAGCACTCGGGCCCGAGTCTTGGCACTATTTGTGCTAGAAGTCCGACGTGTTGTCCGCTTTTTGCCAGTTCCTTCAGGACCCAAATGAGCTTTGTGTGTGTGCTCAGAGTCAGTGCCCTTTTCTTTAGGGATATGTTTAGTCTTGAGAGCACTGTATCTTCCCTCAGGAGATTGACACGAATGAGAAGTGGTGCTAGAAGAGCTATCACTGCTGAACTGGTGAGCAGACTGAACACTCGATGCTCTGCTCAAGTCACTCTGGTCACTGGAGTCCTCATCGTGACAGAATATAGCACTGTGTGGCTTGGTACCAGCAACACCTCGAAAGGAAACATAGTCCCTATGCCGACTTGAATCAAAACTGCTGGCCCGTTTTTTCCCTGTCCGTCTCCTGCCCGACTTATGGGCAGAGGCTGTCCGATGGATTAAGCTGGACGATTTAGGTCTTACATCCCCTTCCTTTTGCTTTCCACCGTCTTTCGCAACTTTTGAGTCCTCTGAAACAGCAGACTTATCACTCTGCTCCTCCTTGTTGTCGGCAGTTTTCCCCAGGGGTCCGTCCCCCTGAGAAGTGAATTCGTTTGCGTGGGGGTTTTTGTTGGCTTCTTCCGATGCAGAGGGGCTGAGACCTCTCTGATCGTGCACATCATCAGCGGTATTTGAATCCTTGGCCTCTTGAACCTCATTGTTTGTACTCACTTCCAAGGCAGTCTTTTCACTACTAGTCCTTTTGTCACTGGAACAGCTACTCTTATCCTCTGGTTCGGCACAGCATTCTTTTCTCCTACCACTTCTCTTTCCCACTTTAGGAGACTCCTCGTGCTCTGACAAGATGCTCTCTATGTGAGTTGAGCTAGTCTGTTCACTTTTATAGCTGCTGACAGTGCTGTTAGTGTCACGGTCCGTTCCACTGCAATAGCTCTCTGTTGACCCACTACTCCGTGTGCTCAGGCTCCTCAAGCTGTCCATACTTTTGTCTGCTTTCAAAGGCTTGCTCTTCCCACTTTTTGTAGGTGGCTGAGAATGACTGTTTTTCAGCTCACCAACAAGCTGAAATTCCCCAGATAAATGAGAATTTTCCACCAAGGATTCTTTGGATCCAGAATGAGGTTTGGAAGATTCTAACTCACTCACTGGGTCTAACCCACGTCTTTGCTGATACAGAGGGAAGTCATTCAGTGAAGTATCTGGAAAAGCCACAGCAGAGCTAGAGGTCCGTGGTACACCTCGTGGCCGGTGCTCTTTCCTGTAAGAGTGTGAATGTAAAGGGACGAGAGAAGCTACTTCTGTGTCACAGGCGCTAGACAGAGACTGATCGACGTGGTGGTGGCTGTGACTTGGCAGGCTCACTTTGTCGCTGCAGTCCCTTGGCAAGTCCTGTCCACAAGAGGACAAGGAAGGCTGAATGGAGATGAAGGAATCATTGGAGACCAAACGGAAGAGCTTCCGATCAGTTGCCAAATCTGTTTCAAACACATTTGGAAATGTTAACACAAATTCTTGATCTGCTTTTCTACTGTTTAACAATAGAAAGAATTCACAGCATACAGTTAATCAAGTATAAACAATTTCTCAAGTAATTCACTAAATAACAATTGGCCAGTCATTCCAAAGAGGTGGTTTCTGTTTCATAGCTGCACAAAGACAGCATTCTATAATGAAATGAACGAGTATCCTCAGAAAAGAGTCTATAAATTATCAACAAAAATTAAGAGGCAACAGCCTGGTCCATGTGGTTCAGTGGTTGAGCGTCAGCCTATGAACAAGGAGGTCACAGTTGGATTCCCAGTCAGGGCACATGCCTGGGTTGCGGGCTTGATCCCCAATGGAGGACATGCAGGAGGCAGTTAATCAATGATTCTCTCTCATCATTGATATTTCTCTCTCTCTCCCTCTCCCTTCCTCTCTGAAATCAATAAATACATATGTATTTTTAAATAAGAGGCAACAAAAAATTATATTTAAAATAGACCGAGATCTCTATGTGAGCCCTGTCTCTAACTTACTAACTGGGTAACCTTGGATTACCTCTCTAAGCCTCTGCTCTCTCACTTGTAAAATGCAATATCAATCCCAGCAGTACCATTGAATGAGATATGACATACATTGCTTAGCACAGTGTCTGACACAATTAACAGTAGCTATCATTATCTCATTAACATAACACAAAAATTTTTTTTTTAAAACTAATAATTTTACAAATCAACAAAAAACTAGTCATCAGAAACAGAAAAAAAAAATCAAAAGGCTGACCAATGCCAAACAAGATATAAGAGGATATCTTGCCCTAGCCCAGCCGTGGGCAAACTACAGCCCGCGGGCCGGATCCGGCCCGTTTGAAATGAATAAAACTAAAAAAAAAAAGACCGCACCCTTTTATGTAATGATGTTTACTTTGAATTTATATTAGTTCACACAAACACTCCATCCATGCTTTTGTTCCGGCCCTCCGGTCCAGTTTAAGAACCCAGTGTGGCCCTC